CTGCTTATTTTGAATAGCTCAATTTTTTTTCAGTCTAATAAAGAAAATGGGTCATGATGACAGTATTTTATAGCATCATATCAAATTACGTTGCTTAAAGATTTCTCAATTATTTTTTATACTAGTGCCACTTAAATATATTAATAAAAACATCTGTCCTCCAAATTAACATTCATCTTTGTATATGATTAATGGAGATTATTCTGTTTAAATATACTAATAGCAGTAAGTCTCTTGATACTTGAATCATTAATGTAATTAGATATAGCCTTATACTATTTCGGATTTAGTTAAAAATTCTTTGAGGTAAATGAGATACAGAATACTGTACTCACTTATTTACTTTCATTTAGGTTTTTGTTGAACTCACTAAAGAACAAGAGGAAGAAGATAATAGTTGTGGAACTTTAAACAGCACACTTTGGTGGGAAAGAACACAGGAAGACAGAGTAGTATTTTGAATTTGTATTGCTCAAATCTGCAATACTGAAATTTATTGAATTTTTAAATTATTGGATTTATTTTATTTTTCGCTTTATTTTAACTGGTTTAAAAAGTGTACTGTTTTAATAGTAACTGAAGATCTGTGAAAGCACTTGTGATTTTCCTAAGTTCCTTATTTGAAGTGTTGTGGTGGTTATGTTTTTCTTTTCTTCAAGTAAAACTTATGTATAATTAATTGAAACTGTATGTTTATATCTGAAGTATATTGAGCTGTAGTCTGTATGTGACTTCGAATATTTACTTTTTTACCTTTGAAAACGATGCTTCTAAATTTATGATTTAAAGAAAAAAGTGGTAGAATAATTTTATTTTGAAGTCACCTTTATTTCAGTTTATGGCATCTTGTTACATAAGTATGTAATGTCCCAATCTAAATCAAAAACTGATAACATAAATAATACATAGAAAATAGACAAAGTAAAAATTTCTTGCTTCTGCTTAATTCCTAAAAGAAACTTGGAATGAAAGTTGGCATGCTAAAAAACTAAACCATAAATATTAGACAATCTCAGTGCAGATAGAAGTTTGCAGGAAGTGACATCCACTAGGTGGCACTCATCAATCATAATAAATTAAATGAGCCCTTGTTCTGTTAGGTGATTTTAGACATAGGTAACTTAGGCATTTGAAGTTAAATTTCTTTTGCTTACAGTAAAATACATACATAATTCTCTTTAATAAGAAACCAGAATTTCACTCTGTCAGAGTTGAAGTAAGGCTATATGGTTAATGTAATCTCAGAAAATACAGTTGACCCTTGAACAACGTGGAAGTTAGGGGCATTGCCCCCTCCCCATGCAATTGAAAATTCATGTACTTTTGACTCCTCAAAAACTTAACTACTAATAGCCTCCTGTTGACTGGAAGCCTTACCAATAACATTAGCAGTCAGTTAACACATTTATATGTTATATGTATTATATAATGTATTCTTACAATAAGGTAAGCTAGAGAAAAAATGTTATTAAGAAAATCATAGTGAAGAGAAAATACATTTATAATACTGTACATATTTATTGAAAAAAAAAAAAACATGCTTATAAGCGGACCTGCACAGTTCAAACCCATGTTGTTCAAAGGTGAATTGTACTTCCTGTAGAACCCATGTATGGATAAAATATAGTATAGTTGACATTATATTTCAATCATATGAATGAAAGTATTAACTTTGTGAAAGTAAATATATTGAGTGATAACGGCAACAGCAGAAGAATTTGGTATTAAGTTACTTTAAATAGCCAAACCCTTTAATAAAATTAACTATTTAAAATAGGCAAAACTGAATGAACTTTTAGCTCTACTATGTAATAAGACATTTGTGATTTTAGGCTCTAGCAGCTGATTTAAAATGGTGTTCCTTTCTCAGTCTCAGCACAAGGTACGTGACTGATATTCCCCCCCATAGCTTTGGTGACTGCTGTACACATTCCTATCTCAGGTTTTTTGACTAATCTAAATGAGCTGTCTTAAAGTTTCTGCTTGGATTTTATAATCCACAGCTAAGTTATTTCTCTTTGTAAGATTTAGTTGGTACTGGTTTTTAATCTTTTATTATTGACAGTCACTTGCCTCATGATACCAAGCTTTTGGATTCTTCATCTGAGAGTCTCACATTTACACCTTAGTACTGCACTTAAATACTTACTGCATGATTAATACAATTCCAGACCCATTTGAAAGAAAATCTTTACCTTTGTAGATAAGTTAATAAATAGCACATTGCATTTTTTAAACAAGTCATTGCTAAATGGTGTCATACATTTAAAGAGCTATCTTTTAGTGTCTAATATTCACATAAAATACCCAGGGACTTCTCTTTTGGGGTGTGGTTTTGTAGCTATGTATTACCTTGAACATTTAAACTCAGTTTAAAAAATAAAACTATCTACAGTTTACTAGGGCAGTTGCTGAAAAGGTAGTTTTTTAGAACTTACTGAGAAAGATGTATTATTTTAAAGTAGAGAATGACTAATATAGAACGTTACCTGCTTTTGCACATTGATTTGGTCACCTTCACTTTACATCTGTGAATGTGTGATCAATGGAAAGTAAAATTTTTTTCCTGCAAAGTCAAAGTTGAGATTATTCTGACGAGTTATAATCATGTTCTTATCATGTTCATTCAGTTACTTTGCTATTATTGTGCTCCTTTTAGCATTTTTTTAAAAAGACATTTGAATTAATTTCTTTAGATTCACAGACTTTGAATATGTTTTGGTCATGAATTAAATTATTTGTAGGAAAGGTCTGTTCCTTTTTCACATTAATACAATTTTTCCTATTTAGAAGTATAAATTAATCCTTAGGAAAGCAAGGGTAAGCGACAAAGTCAAATATGAAGTTCATCTTTCTTTGCAGTGTACTGCTCATGTTTTTGAACATACGTTATTGCAAAATGTCTTAAATTACTGACCTCAAAACTTTTTTTCTATAGAAATGCAAAAAAATATAAATACATATATTAGGTGAAAGTTAGAAAAATCTTATCACCCAGTTTATATTTTGTATTCATGATCAAATTGTAGAAATAAAGGCTGGACTTATTTACTGAGTGAGTTTGTTACCAACTAATAAGGCAAGACTTTCAGCAGCACTTAGGAACCAAGCAGTTGGTAACAATGAAAAACATGATAAGCGGAACTTCACATTTCATTTTGTGGGCTTTTCATTGTTTTTCACTTTGTACTTAGTAAAAGGCTGTAGGTTTTCTTTAAAAGTGGTTTTCCTTTAAATTGACATGTACTACCTTAAACTCGTATTTTGATTTTAATCATTACAATATTTTTAGAGTGATTTAATTTAGCAGACTTACTATTGACTATATTTCAAGCAGTGGGTTCTTTGGATAGAAAGACAACTATCAATTTTGGCCTTGTAAGATCTTATAATCTAGGAGGAGGAAGATAGATCCTTATGTAACTATAATATAATATGACAAATGCTTTGCTAGTGGTACTAACACTTACTGGAACACAATTAATTCTATTTAGGGTAATTTATTATTTTTATTGTTTTGTTGGTAACACAATATTTTATTTTGATTGTACTCTGGATTTGATGAAATACCATATAGTATTTTCATGTAACACATAAATAGGCATTAATTTTTTAAAAATAGAAATGCTTATCCTTAATGTATTTTTAATATTGCTAACATTGATTTTTTTTTCATTTTCTTTCCTGAAAGAATATATAACATAAAATGAAAGAATTTATTCTCTGGTGGATAATTTTTATATCAGCTATTCTTATAAGGTAAAAGTTTACTTATTTTTATTTATAATATGTCATATGTAAGTAATTATCAATGCTGCCCTTTAAGAGAAAATAAATATATTGTTAGTAATAAGCTTTAAGAATTGAAAATTTAAGACAACCCTTTCATTTTTGTATACTGAAATGAATTCTTTGTTATTTAGTATTGATAAATGAAAATGAGTGGCTCATATTAAAAGTGAAGAAAAAAACTGGCACTATAATTGTCAGTAATTTATTTCTGTAGCTACTAAGAGTACTGCCAAAAAACAGGCCTCAGCTTTCAACCCCCCGGGGACAGCCCTAGGAAACTAATGTAAGCCCCATTTTAGGATCTACTCTTTCCTCTCTTCCTGGTCATTAAGTCAGCATGGGTTAANTTTTTTTTTTGGCTCCCCCTGTATTGTTTTGAATTTATTTTGGAACTCTTTCTAGGAATTCACAGGGCTGATTAGTTGGCCAACTTTTTGAGCCTAGATTTTTATATCTATAAAATGTAAGGTTTGGTTTAGATGGATGCTAAGGTTTTCCTATGATCCTATGACTATTTTTGTTATAACATGAAGAGGCATCAATTTTTACAATTCATTTTTTTAATGCATAGAAACATTTGAAATCATGAAATTTCTGTGTGTTTGACAAGCTTTTAAAAATAAGGGAAAATAAATTACAATAGAAAAATCATAGTTGGGCAGAATATAATAACTGCAGCAATTGAAATTTGATATATTTTAATTAATCTAATTAACCAAATAGTTGGGTTTTTAAAAAACCCAGGTATTTTTATTAACATTCAGATCCTTTGTTTTATTTGATGCTTTGTAGGCGAGCAATTCGAACTGCATTTAAAAACAAAAAACAGGCTGCTATTCTGACCACTCATTATATGGAGGAGGCGGAGGCTGTCTGTGACCGAGTGGCTATCATGGTAGCTGGGCAGTTAAGGTAGATGTCTGACCAGCTGTTTTTAAATGTCATTATTTAAAAAACTGATAGTAATGCATATTAATTTAAATGTTAAAAAAAATTTTTTTTCCGTATTTGAGTTTTTGAATCAGTTTGCTTTCTATAGAATTATTCGTGAATATGTGAATTTTCCCCAAAATATGGCTACTTATTTGCATTTGCAATGGGCTTAGTTATTCAACAACTTGGAATATTATTTTCAGGTATGATGTTTATTTTAGAAAATTGCTAGGCAATGTATTGGTTTGTAACCCAAATTATGAAATAAATATACATGAGTTCATATTCTTATAAATAAATAATTGAAGCAGTGTGGGAGAAGAGGCAAATCTTCCTTACAGAAAGATTTCAAATAAATATGTAGATATTACCCCCTCTAAGAGGGGGAGCTTAATCCCCCATCTCCCAAGTGTGGTCTGGATTTTGCCAGGCTCTTCTAATGCATGGGAAGGGGAAGACAGTAACAGTACAGAAACCTGACAAGCACTGCCTTAACCAAACAATGCCATATGGATATCATGTACTGCCTGATATGATGTGATAAGAAAGGCACTTCAGCTCTGTGGTATTTTCTCCAAAAACCCGTAACCCTAGTGTAATCATGAAAAAAAATCAGACTGCTCCAAATTGGGGGACATTTTACAAAAACACTTGACCAGCTCTTTTTAAACTCAAAAGTCATGAAAAAGAAGAAAAGAGTAAGAAATTGTCACAGCCCAGTGGAGACTAGGGAGACAACTAAGTGCAATATGGTATCCTGGATAGATCCTAGAACAGAAAAGGGACATTAGTGGAAAAACTGGTGAAATCCAAAGTCAAGGAAATAGTAATATGCCAGTGTGTTGGTTTCCTAATTTGACAAATGTGCCATGGTAACGTAAGATGATAATATTAGGGCAAACGAACTGGGTGAGGGGTGTATGGAGACTGTAAATTTGTAATTTTTTTATAAATTTGAAAATATTCCCTTATAAACATTTTATTTAAATCACTTTTTAGATGAGAAATAATTTTGAAGCTGTCAAGTCATTTTATATCTGAGCTTTCTTTTAAAAATTACTACAGATGTATTGGGACAGTCCAGCATCTGAAGAGTAAATTTGGAAAAGGTTACTTTTTGGAAATGAAATTAAAGGACTGGATAGAAAACTTAGAAGTAGACCGCCTTCAAAGAGAAATTCAGTATATTTTCCCAAATGCAAGCCGTCAGGAAAGGTAAAGATTTTCAAAATTTAACTTTTTTTATAGAGCAATAATCATAAAAATTTGTTATTCAGGATTTGGGGGGGGGGGAAGTCTGTATTATCACTAATATTGGACTAATATAGTCTGATGACTAGAACTTTATATCTAACTTATTAGATCTTTCAATATTCGATAGTATTTAAACTTTTAAAGTTCTTATTTAGTAGTAATGAGAGAGTTATTTTATCATGCATGGAAATAGTTTAAGACTTTAAATAGTATTTTTTATCTAAATAAGTATCAAAATAAGTTATTGGTGTTTAATTTTGAACTTTAAAAATTTTAAACTTTAGCTTTAGAACACAGTAGTAGTAATTTAAATAATTCCTACATTTTATCTTATCTGTGTTTTCAGTTTTTCTTCTATTTTGGCTTATAAAATTCCTAAGGAAGATGTTCAGTCCCTTTCACTATCTTTTTCTAAGCTGGAAGAAGGTAAGTAACATTTGTAAAACGTGGTAAGATAGTTTTCAAATTGTGAAAGAATTTTATTTAAAAATGTAGAAATTGGGAGTCAGTTTATTGTAGAAACTATAGTAAATATAGGAAGATGACCTTTTATTAATTTAAGATAAGTTAAATACTAATACTGTAGGGATTTGGTAGACCACCTATATGGTAGTGTAAACCTTTCACTATTTTAATAGACACCACCACAGTTTTTCACATTGCATCTATGATAAAGGTCAGCTTAATTAGCCCTCTACTAGCTCAGTCCAGAAGTGGGAGCATTGAGTTTCTCGAGTCCTTTCTTCATATTGGGCTATTGAAGTAGAAATAGTAGCAAGACTCCAGTGGTAGCAGGAGAGGGGAGAGAAAAATTCATAGTGCCATTCCTAAAAGCTTTAAGAAGCTTAGTTGAATCTTGACCTTTTTAAAATAAAGGGTAGGTAGGATAAAAATATGCTGATGGCAGTAGAGGGGAGGTAAGCTCCTGGACAGAGGAAGTATTCAGATGCAGGTTGTTTTATGGCATTTATAGACTATGAAGCAACCTACATTTCCTGGTGATTTCTTTATGATTAAAGAGAACACCTGAACTACTTAGGGAGAATTAAAGGAATGAATAGAAAAGTTGGCATTAAATTAGATTGCAAAAGGATCCACAAAATTTAAAGAAAGTATATGGACATATGAACAGTATCCAGGATTGAGTTCAAGAAGTCAAGAAGAGGCAATATTGGAATTCGGGAATGAGAAATAGAGAGCAGAGAT